GCACGATCTGATTCTCGGAATTCTTGATGCCGGCTGCTCGGCATATTTGCGCTGAAAGGATTCCCACATACCCATAAGAGTTTTGAGAGCTGGTGTAAGCGCTATGATGGCATTTGTGAATGTGGAATGAGGGGTTGATTGGGGAGTATTTTTTCTTTATATGTCTTCAGCATCTTAGGCTGTTTTTAATTCCTGTTCTTTTGCGGGCGAGTCCCCGTTCCTGGAATGTAATTCTGCTTCAGCGTTTCTCTCGACTCACTGTTTAATGCTGTATGACTGAATGGAAGACGCGGAACTGACGAGCGAAAGAATGCATCTGGAATAACATATAATGTAGATGCTCTCTAGAGCCGATTCTTCAGATTTCTTTGTCCTCTTAATCACCACAATCAAGATGCGGAGGGAAGGCACTAGATTGATTCTTTGTTTCACCCAGTGACTGCAGTGTTACTTCTCCAAGGTTTGGAGCTTACTCCATTGTTGCCCCCAACCAGCATGTTGTCTCGGCCTCCCAAACAGATCCCCTCCTCTGTTTGTTCTGTCCCTCTTTGTCCAACGTCCAACACTTTATCCACAGCTCAACAAAGCATGATCCAAGGAGCCCCTACTTACAGAATCATTGATGCTACAAGACAAAGACATCATGTCTTCTTCTCAACTTCTCTTCGAACTACTCTCCTCACTTCCGCCTCAAAATGCCTCCGAACCAACACCATTAACCCCCGACACCGACACCAACCCGAACCTTACAGAGCTTGATTCGTCCGATTTCAATAGTCTCTTATCCACTGATTCAGGCTTCTCATTCTATTCGCCATATATATCGCCGCTCTTACCAACTCCGCCTTTGCATCGTGATCGCTTTGTCTCAAGTGTGTCCACCGTCGTACAAGGAGCGACGAAACGACGCAATAGCATCAGCGACAGTTTCCCCTCCTTGTTTCATTCTCCGGTAAATAACACACTGATGACTATTCGTGCGCGATCTGTATCTTCAGGGGGCTCTACGAGGAGAAGCGCACCGGTCCCGGCGGAGCAGGATCCGGAGTACATTCAAGAGAATATCAAGGTCGAAGAGGATGATGAGGAGTTTGTTTCGGATGCGGATGAGGTTGATCCGAGTGAACTGAAGATCGAAGAAGCTAGAAGAGCTAGGAAGAAGAAGAGGGAGGTAGATGCTAAATACATTCCCAAGGAAGAGGAGGAGGAAGATGATGTCTTCAACGCAGATACGAAAGAGATTGATCCTAGTGAGCTCATCGACAGGGTTGCTCAGAGGAATAGGAAGAGGAGACCGGATGTGGATGCTACATACTTGCCTGGGAAAGATGATGATGGGGATAGCAGCCAGGGCGAAGAAGCGACGGTCAGGGCTTCGAAGAGGAGGGTGATGCCACATCCTGCATTAGCATCATCTGTTGATGCTCGTCGTTTGACCCCTGACAAGCCGGTGAAGGCAGAGGTTCCTGTTACGCCGTCTGCTCAAACCGATCCTGTGTATCAGGATGGGGTGACTGGGTTCTCACAGAAGGATCATACAACGACGGATCTAGGTGCGATCCCATATCCGACGCCGGATACTCTTCGAAAGAAAATTATAACTAAAGCTGCAATCAATTCGTCTGCACTCCCTCGTGCTCGCCCTGTCCCGAAGAAGGCTCCAAAAAAAGAACATGAGGAGTACGTTCCAGGTGAATCTGTGTCTCCCGAACCGGAGGACACTCCGGCGAAGTCCATTGAAACCGATAATGCAATCCCAGCCGACTTTACCGAGGATGATAACGAAGAATATCAGGACCGGCCTATTCATCATACTGAGAAGACGGGTATTGTCTTTGACTTTTCGGTGGAAAGAGCCAAGCGCTGGGCCAGCGCGATCAATGTACCAAAGGGTCTTTTTAACGAGGAAGAGAAGGATTTGTTCTTTCGCCTTGCCATGCGCGGATTCGAGCCGGTTGTCCCCAGAAGCTGGCGGTATGACTTTCCGACACTGCCTGAATCTTTGTATCCTAGGAGCTCCGAGGAGACTGATAAGCCAATTATCGACGTCACTCGAAGCTCTAACCTCTATGGTGAGTTTTCACTTACTGCGTTACAAGAGAGATACTAATATATATCCAGCTATTAAAGCTTTGACAAGTCTATTTGCCGTTGGAGGCCGTGTCCGCGACTGCGACATTCTACACCAGCAGCCCGAACCCTTAATCAAACAAGCCATCCAGAAATACGTCTCCTGGGCTCTCTTTGACGTCAACCTACACACCATGAAAGATGCACTACCAGTCCATGTGATCTATGCTCAAAAGAAACACGAAAAAACCATCACGGCCATCCGGAAGATAAACACAAAGCTTCAGAAGCTTACCCGGCAGCACCAGGAAGACCTCGGCGTGGCAAACAACACCTATACAGAAAAACAGATGGCGGAAATACTTGAGAACACCAAATTCCCCCTTCTCACCGGGTTCATTATCTGCGGTCCCATCGTCGCCATCTTGACCCATAGCACTGATCCTCGGGAGATCGGCAACGGCCAAGAAGACGGTCGGTTCATCTCTCAGTTTGACCTGTCGGAACGCGGCCAGGACGTGTGGAATTCCCTGGCTATTGCTATTACAGTGATGCATGTTCGCCGGACTATGTTGATGTTGGCGCATCAAGGGAGGGGAAGTCATCGGCCTGGTCGAAAGCGCAGTCCTTCGGCTTTTGATGTGGATCGTTGAGTTGATCTTTGGGTCTATGAGGAATTTGTTTGTTATGGGCTTGGGATTGCATAGGTAGCGTGATTCAATTTGCTTTGTATTTAGATGGTTCAGATACTTAGTTGTCTTGAGATGTTCACATGAAATAAATGATAATTCGATGCACAATCACTAAAGTCCCTGGGTTTGTATCTACAAGCGTAGGTCGAAGTTGACCCTACTTCTGAAGTAGTATTTCTCTACCCACTGTGAGCCCTGGCTGATTAATAGGAGTTGGAGTTTTACAATGGATGTGATGGTTCCGATGATGATGTAGGGTGGATGATTTAACATAAGTTTATTGCCTGATTGGTATCACTATCATTTTATATCAAAGTTTGGAGATACAGTAGCTGGTGCACATATTATTCCGTGCATATATATATATATATATATATATATCTTGATATCATATGTACCATTGTATGATGATGATGATCTTCATGCCCTGAACCTCTCTCTCTCACAAGCTCCTAAAACCATACACTAGGGAATTAAGAAGGGGCCAACGAGCCAGCCGCAATAAACTATCTCGTATATTCCATGCCGAAATCCTATGGAATAATTTTTCCCCGACGAATCGCCAGGGTAATTCGCAAATTCCTGTTATATAAGCTGCAAGTATAACTCACTCGCTTGGGCGTTCTTGAGGAGGGAGGGAGTCCCAATCGCTCGGCACTGTTGAACGCCTGGGACAAGCTCAGGATCTCTTCTTAGGAACCGCTTGCTTAGTATCAGCGGCCCCATTCGATAATCAATATCATGGCCTAGACCGGTGTGGTGTTGGTCGATAAGACGAAGCTTACTGGTGTGGGAACATGAGCGAACAATGGATCGACGTGCGTGTGCTTCCATAGCCATTGGCATCTGATATCGACTGCAATTCCTCAGTTGGGTGTCATAGTTATGGACATCCCAATCCCACCCCAGTTCTATGCCGCAAACCACAGGCAGACAGCAAGTCAAGTCGACTTTACCACCCGTGATGCCAGAAGGCGTGGGAACATAGTATCTGCCAACCAGGCAGTTACTACACAGAGCCAGTAATACAATATCGGACTATCGTCCAACCTCATTGCTAACGAGCTGTACAGATCTTGTAGTCATCTTGGCTATCTTACCAGATATTATCATCATCACCAAATAACATCTGTCTCCGGATGGACTCCGAGGAAATGTCTGTATATCCACAGTATGTATAGGACTGCGACATCATCCATAATATCTATGACAATGTGATGCTTCGGAGACCATCGAGAAGTAAGTCTGCCAGATGGCCATACCAGCCGGCCCATCTCAGATAGCCCATGCAGTAGCGACCACAAACTCATCTTCAAGATGTAGTAAAGAAGTCAGCGATGATGACATATCAGTCATTCTGCCAGGCAGCGCCTTTTGGGTAGGGCGCTTGGTGAGAATAATGTGAAAAGAGTCGAGGACTTTATACTTGAACACTTGAGCAATATGATTTTGGCCGACTCTGCATACCCTGCTTATTACTCGTTCAATAATAGCTCGGGTGAGAGCCACGCTGAAGAGATGAGTAGTTCTGTAAAGTCACTGCAGACTCAGCTCTGTTGAATATATTATATAGAAGATGACGAGAATAATGTCCTTGATTTGGTGCTCACTAAAGTTGTTGTCGAGCTTATGACGTTCGCTGTGATCAATATCGGAGTGGAGTATCCTGCAATTGAAACCCGCCGCCTTGAGAGTCGCATACACGTAGACTTCTTCGCCTGAATACCAGGTCCACACGAGTGCCTCTTATTTCGGAGAAGGACTTGATCACGCAGTATCCCAATTTTAAATCTCATCTGGGGCGAGCCTTTTAATATGCCAGCCAGTTGATGCGCAGCTTGTTCCAGATTGGTCTCGGGAGGTTTCATCAGCATCCGGTAAAAAAATTCAACCTGGTCTTCACCAATAACGACTTCTGCGTTGTACCTACCCGATTGGGTAGAGTCCTCTCCTTTTCATTAGGTGTACACGGCGGTCGCGTTTGTCACATTCCCGGTCATAGTGATCACCTCCGCAGTGTCGGCAAGGCCGCGATGGCCGTGATGGACCGTTACGGTAGCGACTGCCGGTGCCGGACGGCTTTGCTTTGTTAGCAGCGTCAGGCGGGTTGGCTTTATCGGTGTGGCCTCCATCTAACTACTTGACGGCCGTCTTTGTCATTATCCGATCGCTTAGACCCTGTATAGTCTCTTTCTTGTTGTATATTTGCCACTGCTGTTTCGCACCTGCTTTACCTGCACGCAGGCGGCGTTTGAAGGCTTCGAGCGTCTTGTTCTCCATTGGTTGAACGAGGTAGGCAAGGTTGTTATCAAGGCCTTCCCATAGTTCACTTTTCAGGGTCTCTTCGTCCGCCGTGCCGGCAGCTCGCAAGAGAGACGTCTTCTGGACGTAATCAGCGAGTGAGAGGTCATCAACGTACCTACCCGATTGGGTAGAGTCCTCTCCTTTCTTCCTTTAGTTAGCCTTAGTAAAAGAGAATGAACAACTATCTGCTTTGAATGAATCCTCTTCTTCTGTGTTCGTTGTTTAGATCTAGATCAGTTACTCCAGCACGGAGCAACTTCTTTGTCTCGAATTTTCTCCAGGAAAGCTGGAATAAGGCGTCCTCTATTAGTTGCAGCAGACGGCCATTCGACAAGGCCGTAGTTATGTTGTCATTTAGCGTAGTGTCACTTCCCCGCTGATGACACTTTTGAATTGATATTAGGTGTGGTATCAAAGGACCTGAGACATGAAGTATGTGTCAGGCTGAACACATTATTTCTTCGATATCGAGATCAGGCAAGGATTGATATGGTCTCGGTGAAATCCGCCAGTTCCTGATCAAGGCGCCAGTAACACTCTGCATGAGTAGAGGCACATCTTCCATTGTTGTGCTTGGTGCTTTTTCATGGAAATAATCATATCCTGGCGTGGGAATCATCAGCCACGCAGCCACGTAGCGAGGCGGCTAGATCATAGTGGGTTAGGAACTCTTCGGGCAGGTCTGTAGTTATTGATCGCGTGGCGAAGACAATGCATACCGAAGTTGAACTTCATGCTCACGGGCATGTATCGCTTTGGGCGGCTAGTCCCCTTGTCCATCGTAACAATCCATCGTATGCTTACATTAACAACCTTCTTGATTCTATCCATCGGTGCTCTCGAGCGTGAGCGGATTTGGCACTGTCAAAATGTTTGTTTCACCCAAGGTCGGATGATAAAAGAGGTGACCAGCATTTAATGTTGTGCTTTGCACGTTTTGCTCGATATTGCGGTCAAAAAAGAGGAAGACTCTATAACCCTATATAGCAGTGTCAAGTAACATCAGTTGTCTTGCATCGCTCATGTCTTCCCAACATCGCATCTCACTCACAAGGACAGTCGATGTTATTCCCGCCCAATACATGGCGTTGGAGTACTTGTGGCGACTACAAGTCGCTGCCTGTGGTGTTTCTTTGCGATATCCCAGGCCTTAATTGATTTTGATGTTGTTAAGCACCAGGTGACCAATGTGCCACGGCTTGGGGATATCTAGCAGATTAGCTGTTGGCTGAGCCGGGGATCCCAGTAACTTGTAGCTTTCCTCCGAGTCACAGAGAACCCAGCCCCAGTAGTCTCGTGGTTATCTCTCTCAACCCCGACCTGCGGAGCAGAGACTTGGAGTTTGGTGTTTTCGACGCAAACAACAAATGCGTGGTCTTGGGAAAAAGGTTCTCCGTCGTATGAAGAAAGCCACACTTCTGTGGCGCCGGGTAGCCCTGGCCCAGTCTACCTGGGATCACTTCAGGATGCTACCCAAAATGCCATCTGCTTTTGTTGTTGGTGTTTTGTTTTATCAATTGTTGTGTGCCTAGTGTAATCAAGTTCGTGGACGTGTTCACTCGGTAACACGTCTTCTTCTGGCTCATTCACACGGTGCAGTCCGGGCTCAGGTTCCAAACCCACGTAAAGTTGGAATGGTAGACCGAGCACGCCTATACTCCCCATAACCCGGCTCCTGGCTGGTACTCTCATTGTACTGTCTGTTGATGTGGCTCACAGGGGTTCATAACCAATGAACAGCCACTTAAACTATAGTTTCCTCGCTTAGAAAGCCCTGAGCTGGGGAAAAAGGCTTCGAGTTCTGTTCAATAGAGAAACTCTTTCCAATGGACACTGCGCCAATGATCTATCAAGTCTCATGCCTCGCTAGTTATTCAATCTACCTGATTGTTGGTCCATTTAGCGAACCATGCTATGAGCGCTGTTCCAACGAGCCGCAGTCGCGTGGTGGCTCTTCAATCAAGCGAAGCAAGAAGGGCCAAGCACGACATTTAGAGAATATTAACTGAAAAGAAGAACAAAAGAAGGATGTCATGTCTCAAGCTCTCACTATGCAGAGCGAGGATCCCACACGCGGTACGGAATGGTCCAGAGAACCAATTCTAGAGCATTTGATGTCGGCCTTTTGTAAGGTAAGGTCAGGAAGGTTCTCTGGTTCGGTCAAATAACTGACATACCATAATCAAAATGTACTCAGCCCATGAGCCCATCTACCCTAATGATACTTTGCAGATCAATATCCTTGTCATCGGGTATGGATATCGTTGTATCTTCGACTCCATTAAGATGCTATCACGTTCTTTCGATAAAGGGTTCATCACTGGAGAGTCTTTATATCTCATCTAGTAACAGTGGGCATTTATATAAGCAGAGTGTCTTAAAGCTTTGTAGATAATGTAGTAGAGATCCTGTCAGATTATTTTGGGAAGTTGGAGAGTCAGGGTGGTTGAGGCCTTTATATAGACCGGGTCTCTTGGGGACTTCACTGCAATTGCATTGTCACTGAGTCTAATTTACTTATTATCGTAACTCTGAGTTGCTACATCCCATGACGAGGCATTATTCACAATATTGTGAATCTATACAGCTGGTGATAGTGCTCCAAAATATGATTCATGCAATTCCATGCTGTCTTGTGAGGAATCGTGAATATCATCAACCGGGGTTTCCTCTACATACGTAGATCTGAAGACTTTATACTATATGTAGACTCTGTGTAATTCGCTATTTATCTATAATTTATCTAGTAAGTATATAAGCGCTGGACCTTGATCAATATCGGGGCTTGAGCTAGTACTACCAGTTTAAACCCTTATACTAGTAGCCAAACGGCAAGGCCGACGGAGAGAAATATATAATACTACTACTAGTACTAATCCTAGCAGGCGACATGATTGCCGGGATCGATAATCTCAACAACCAGATATGTTAGATTAGACTCAAGGATACCTATTAGAATAGTTATTTGGTATGAATAGGTACTTAGAATCATGTTGGACTGGTTTAAGAAGGATGATTATGCAGTTGGAATCGATCTGTATAATGATGACTAAGCACTCGACCAGCAGATGGAATCCCCGCGGCGACTTCAATCTTCCTGATTCGATGCTCTCAACGCTTCAGTATACTTAGTGGCACTTCATCATGGATGCGGCCGAGGATAGGGAGGTTAAGCTCCAGCGTGCCTCTGGAGACCTCGTCCAAGAGTTTTCCGAGAAGCTGCCATCTCTCCTTTGGAAGACTCGACCCGACCAGCCAAACACCCGCATTCCACGGAGATGGACCCCCGCCGCAAAAACAGAAAGACTCGTCGGCCTGGTAAGCAAGCTGCCCACGCCCTGCCTAATCTCAATGTCTAGTCTACGAATTTTTCTTGTAGTGACAGCTGACCACTTTGTAGTTGGAGCCGTTTCAGGAGTGGCCGCAGCTGTTGGACCCCCACCTGCAGGCCCTTCTACCCCCTTTAGTTGATGCCTTTCTGGCATATTTGCTGAAGCATCGCGACCAATACGCGTCCAAACCTGCAGGATTGCAAGGCCAGAAAACAGCGTATCCTCTTCCAAGAGCGATCTGCAGACTGCTTTATACCTTTTGCAAAGTCCGTGGGGTCAAAGTCATCAGCAGGTTTTTGAACAATGAACCCAAGTATCTTGATCCGCTGCTCCGCGCTTTCGTTGAATGGGATGCCGTCAAAGATGAACCTGAGCTAGGCCTTGGAGACATTCCCCTGCGACTGGTCTGGGAAGAACGATATGTGATGCTGATTTGGCTATCGCATTTGTTACTTGCTCCCTTCGACCTGGCTTCGATGTCGTCGGATGATATCCCGGTTCCGTATGACAACCTCGGGACTCTGAAACAGATGCCAAACCGCACACCAGTGGTTACAAAGTCTCTACTTTCCGTGGCCTTGAATTATATTAACGTCTCAGGTAAAGAGCGGGAAGCCGCTACAATTGTTTTGGCACGACTGGTGCTTCGGCGTGATATGCAGGCGCTTGGGCTTTTGACTAATCTGACGGACTGGGCGTTTTCGGTTGTTCAGCCTGCAGGTAATCTTGAACCCCCTTCAGTCTACACGTGTATTGGGGTGTTGTCTTTCATCGCTCGCCTGGGTGCGTCGGGCCAGGTGGAGGACTTTGCTCCCCTGGTGTCACCCGTCTTTGGACAGACGCTGCAGATTCTGCAGGGCAACTCAGCTGTCTCAGACGTTATCAAGTCTTCTGCGCTGGCACGGAAGACTATCATCAAAATCTTGCGTACGGTAACAGTTATGGCCTTGTCACTCAGTGAGAGGGGCGACAGTACAATCTCGGACGACCAGGTTTCTACAATTCTAGAGGATGCAATTGATCACTTCCTCGTCGCTCTTGCTGATAAGGATACCCCTGTGCGCTTCGCAGCGAGTAAGGCCCTAAGTATTATTACATTGAAGCTGGATCCCGATATGGCCGCGGAGGTCATCGAGGCTGTTACTGGCTCTCTGGAGGAGAACATTCTGTATGAGAAGCGGGACGGCACCATCGTGACACCGCTGGAGGCTCGGAGGATAGGCATCAACACGTTGAAACGGAATTTGAGCGCAGTGGACGCTCAGAGGTGGCAGGGGCTGATCTTGACGCTCGGCCATCTCTTGTTTCGCCGTGCGCCTCCTACCCATCAACTCAGCGATGTGCTTCAACCACTTATTTCGGGCCTTGACTTCGAACAACGGTCATCAACTGGAAGTTCTGTCGGAACAGGTGTACGCGACGCCTCGTGTTTCGGAATTTGGGCGCTGTCTCGCAAGTATACCACCCAGGAACTGCTTGCCTTGAAACCGCAGACAATCAGCACAGCCACAGCTCAAGGTGAAGAAGAAAGCACATTGCAGATGCTAGCGATCGAACTGGTGTGTGCCGCGTGCGTTGACCCGTCTGGAAATATTCGGAGGGGTGCTTCTGCAGCACTGCAAGAGCTCATCGGGCGACACCCCAACACAATTGCCGAAGGTATACCGCTTGTGCAAGTTGTGGACTACCATGCGGTGGCTCGGCGCTCGCGGGCAATGATCGATGTTGCCAACGCAACCGCTGCTCTCAGCCTCCATTACTGGAGCCCACTTGTCG